CTTAGGGTGAATAAATCAAAGAATTGGTTCTTTGAAAGAATAATTGATAAACCTTTTACCAAACTTAACCAGAAGCAAAAATGAAAAGACTCACAACAATGTAATTGCTGCAATCAAGAGGGTTGTAAGAAATGGATAAACTCCCAGACATGTACATATTACCAAAATTGAACCAAAAAATTATTTTAAAAAAACTAAACATATCAATACCAGGCAATGAAATTGAGCTAGTAATAAAAAACTTTTCTAAGAAAAGTCAAAGTTACTGCTGAATTCTACAAGAACTTCAAATAAGAACTAACATCAGTATTCCTCACTCTTCCATGACATCAAAATGGGAGGAATGAGCATAGATCTAAATATTCTCAACAAAATACTTGTAAGCAGAATGGAACAAATGATTAGAGACGGTGAATAAGTTGGCTTCATCCCAGTGATGCAAAAATGGTAACGCATACTGTGAATAAATTAATAAATATAATACGCTCTATAAGTAGAAACAAAGATAAAAATCACATGATCCTCTCAAGAGATGCAGAAAAAGCCTCAGACAAATTCAACATTCATTCACATAAAAAGTCCTATGAAAACAGGACTCACACTGATGAAACTGATAAAAGTCATAGCCAGGAGCACACTTGAAAGGCAGAAACTGAAAGCTTCCTTTAAAAATCAAGAATAACAAAGGATTCTACCCTCCCCACTCCCATTCAATACAGATCTTGAAACTCTAGCTAGAGCAATCAAGCAGAAGACATAAAGGGATATGCACAGGAGAGGAGTAAGTCAAACCATTTTTTATTTTCACATGGTCCTATAAGTGGAATACCCCCCAAAACTTCACCAAAAGACTCTTAGAACTAATAGATAATTCAGCAAAGTGGCAGGACACAATATCATCACCCAAAAATTAATAGCATGCTTGCTCACCAATAATGAACCTATTGACAAAGAAATTGGCACAGCAATCTCATTCAGTGTAGCTTTAAAAAACTTAAATGCCAAGGAATTAATGAATACTGTTTCTTTGTTAAATAACACCATTTATTTATTTGTCATGTTGGCTACAAAAGTAAAACAAACTTCCCAGTGTCAGATACCCATGTTAACTGCCTCATTGACTCTAGAGGAAAACATCCTCAGCTTCTGCTTCTTACACAGACTCTGAGCCTTGAAGTCCTTTCCACAAGTGATCCCGTCCAACTCTACTACAAGTTAGGCATTGTTGTTTCCAGTTCCAGATGATGGAGAACTGGAGCTGCTCACCCCAGTTCACCCAGCCTGTTTGTGGGAGAGTCCGTACGTGGACCCTGGATCTCCAGAGGGCGGGCTCTCGCCACCTTTCCACACTATCTTGCCCAAACAGTAGTCTAAGTGGAAAGTATGACTCTGGTTTACTTCTGAGGTGTGTAAATGGCTTGTCCATCGCTGGGCTCATGGGCACAAATTCAATATCAAAACATTATGTGCTGCCTTTCCCAGTACATAGATGACAGTGCTGGAAGGCCTCTGACTCCAGAAGGAGTGAAAAATCTTTGCTGCAAAAGGATGACTGTGTCTTAGTCCCCTCGAGAGCCATCAGAATGGCCCCAGGGATGTCTGTAAACCCTGACTGTTTCTCTTTTCAAATCCTGTTCCCTTTCCTGCTTGATCTCCAGTTTTACCTCTGTAAAGATGCCTTCATGCATTTTTTGTATTTTAAAAACAAAACAAAAAAGATAGAAATAATACAGAATTTCAAAACACTAGGAAATTATCACCTAGTTATATTAAATATCATTTTCTTAGAAGTAGTTGTTCAGTTACAAGATTTTGGCATTAAAATTATCAAAAAAATCAAACAATGAAAGCACAAACTTTTTCTTGGTAAACTTAAAGAGATTAGTAGTATAATTGCCTAATACACACACACACACACACCCACACACACACACACACACGCAAACATAAAATCTTTCCTTTTCTTCCTTTTCTCCTTTCCCTATCCCAGTTGATCTTTACTTTTGAGCATTTTCTTTCCCTTTCATTTTCATAATATCTAGTATACATTTGGAATCTTATTACTCTTTCAGGTTTTTTTAGTTTTTTTACACTAAGGAGATAATACAATATTTAAACAGGTGAGTTTGATTTATTTCACTTATGAGTATGCTCTCAGGTTGCGTCCATTTATCCATAAAAGCCTCAAGTTTATCTGTCTTCATAGCTGTGTAATACTCCATTATATAAAAATACCACATCTTTCTTATTTCTCACATTGTACATCTTAATATTACTCATGATTTTCCACTTATTTGATATGACTTTCTTATTTTTGTTAGCCTATTATCCTGCTTTTACTTTCATTGTTCTACTGTCAAGCTTGGCACATTATTCAGGACTCAATCTTTGTTTCTCTAATTTTTTTTTCTTCCCAGACAAGATTATATATATATATATATATATATATATATATATATATAAATGTCTTAGTCCCCTCGAGAGCCATCAGAATAGCCCCAGGGAAATATATATATATTTGTACCAAGGATCGCACTCACAACCTTCCAATCGCACTCACAACCTTCCACTTGCCAGGCAGGCACTTACGCCACTGAGCTAAATCCCCAGTCCTAGATAAGATTTTAAACTGATTCCTTAACCTGAGAGAGCTGCACTGAGCCTGGGAGAGCTATTAAAAGTGTAAGTAACCTGTGCCTTCCCACGGGTTCAAACACACTTGCTATTTCAAACACACTTGCTCTGCTTTTACTTGTTTTATTTATCCTACATTGTCGTTTCCTTTGGAGACCTTATTTGTATTCATTGGTGCAGTAAACATTGTATCAGGGTCAGAGATATAACTCAGAGGCACAGCGCCAGGCTGGCAAGCGTGAGGTCCTGAGATCAAGTGCCAGTACCAAAAATAAATAAATAAATATTATATCAGAGTAATGAAAGCTGAGTTTAATTTCTTGATTCATAACTATCCATCTGACTTCAAAAAAATGTTTCAACATTGTAATACTCATCTTACATTCAAGTCTGTTTATTCCCTCTACAGAAACTGAGCTCTTGCCTTATTTCTTGGCACTTTTCTAACCCATATGAATTTTTAGCCGACGTCATTAACTCCAGACGGCCTCTGTGAACCCAGAATCTCACTGAAGTATTCTTCTGATGTGGTATCATTGCTTGCTGTCAAATTTCTTTTCTTTCCTTCTTTCTTTTTTTTTCTCTCCTGGTAGGGAGATCGAACTCACAACCTTGCGCTTTCCAAGCAGGCACTTGTGCCACTGAGCTAAATCCCCGGTCCCCCAATTTCTTAATGTAGTAGCCCATCTCATGTCAAGTTTGTTTATAATCCTTTCTAAACTGAAAGCTCATTGAGGGCAGAATATTATACATGATCATTTCCCTAGAATAGTGCTTGGCATGGAGTAGATTTGAAAATAAAATAAATAAGGTTGGGTTTCCTAACGAAGAGATCCATATTCTATTGCATCATTTTCTTTCCAAGTAAAGTTGAATGAAAAGCCACCTATCAATGTTACCTGTGGTTCTGATCAAATTGCTCTATCTTACCTGGTGCTTTGTGAGTATCTTCCTTTCTTAACCTGATTCATAATACTGTACGTATTTATACTGAGAAAGTTATTTTACATTTGTACTTAGATTTTTCTTGTGCAGAAATAAGGGTACATTATTTACAGTTATTGCTGAAGACCAATGTCTTGGTTACTTTTCTAGCATTGCTGAGACAAAATACCTGACACTCAAAATTAGGGAAGGAAATGTTTATTTAGCTCACAGTTTGTGGACCTTTCAATCTATAATCAGCTCCAAGGCAGGGTGATGTGGTAGAGGGGCAACAGTTCAAGGCAGCAAAAGATGGCAACACAACAAGAGCAAAAGAGGATGAGTGAGGAGTGGAGACTTTCTGTCCCTTATATTGTATATAGTCCAACTGCCCCGGGTGGGTGTGGCACTCATATCCATCATCTCAGCATTGGACCATGAATAAGTCACAAACTCTGTTCGCCTGTCCTCATGACTGCATGGGACTTTAGAGGAATGTCCAGACACAAACCATAACAACAAGAATAAGTTAAAGTACCAGGACTAATATTATTCCCAAAAGTGTGTTTTTCACATTGTTCTTAACCAAATCATAACTTTAAACTATTTTTCTATGATTTCAATAACTTTAACTTCTAATAATAAAGATTTAATTCAAAGTGTTTGAAGCCATACATAAGTAGTTTATAGGGAAAGCACTGATCATTAATGCAGTGGTTGCAACTGTAAAGGACATATTGCTTCAAATATTTGCTATATAAAAATTATTCATAAATGTAACTAAAAAGTCTTAAAGTAAACGAAAGAGTTATTTAATGGCCAGATACAGCCCTAGAGAAATTCAAAACTGCTGTCATATTCACCCCAGAAATAAAAGTAGGCCCAATCTTATCTTTAATCCTATACCATAATATCACCTTTAAAAAAGTAAAACCTGAGTATTTCTATCATAAAAGTTAAAAATTTTGAAAGCAAAGTTAGACTTCAATTCAGTAATTTTAGTTATGCTTTTATCATACTTTTACACACAATATAATACAATATAGTCTCAATCTTTTAAATCTTAAATCTTGTGTTTTCACTACTAAGCTTCTCTGGGTTATAATAAATTGAAAAGATACTGAAAAAAAACCAAAATAACACATTTTCAAAAGAAAAATAAATGTACATTAAAATTGATTTTACTTATAGACTAATTTTAAGGAATACCTGACAAATAGAATTTTGAAGATATTCTTGGCAGAGATGTTATAAGGAGAATTCAAGAATGAGATGAGTGGCTGATTAGATGCCCTAAAATCCTACACAACTCTGAATGTCCAGATGTAGGTCATGAGTCAGTGTAAGGCACATTCTCTGCTAGTAAATTCTGAGTGTTTCTTATAACATTAACAGTGTTTGTGAAAGAAAAGCCACATAGCCAGCAGGGAAATGGTACTTACGAGTATTGTGTCAGCAGTTCCAAATCATTATGCATGTTGATGGGATATGCTTCACTGAGTTCAAACAGCTTCTCCAAGGCCTCATAAATAAAAATGATGCAAATAAGAGAAGCAAAAGCTTCTTCTGTAAACCGGGTGATATAGCAGACAAGGGAACTTGCATCAGTGGCCACAAGTATGATACAAAGTGTTGCAGTCCAAAGTCCAATGCTAGCTCTTAAAGATAGGTACGACAGCCCATATTCTCTAGGGGGAGGAAAATAAAAGAACAATGAGACGGTAATTTAATAGCTTTTGTCCAATTTAATAAGTAGAAATGAGCCTGATTCAGGATATGAAAGTCAATAAGCTTCACATTCCACAAGAATCTTTGTCTAAATGGAACATTAAGGGGACAAAACTAAAAGAAATTTCTCAGTCCATGCAACTCAATCTTATGTTTTAAATAAATATTACACGACAGTATACACAAATCTTTGACTTTTCCTCCATTTCCATGAAGAAACAAATAATGACAAATTGAATCAAATCAGCCACTCCACCTTTCCAAACAGACATCCAAAAGCGATGCTAGGATTAGAATAAAGAAAAAGAAAGGGGATATGGACCAAGAGTTTATTAACACTTACTTGCAAAATTTAAACAGTATTTTTTCAAACACCAAAACTGGTCCTGTACTGCCTAAGATGGTAAGAGGCTGTCCACCAAAGAGAGAATAAGCTATCCCAGTCATGGATGCTCCAAAGAGAGATTCGATTGCACTCTGTGTAGAGATACAAATCATTCCATTACCTGAGTTGTTCAAGTAGCCATTGTAACTAAGAAGAAAACATTTAGAATATAGAAGTATGTGCTTTCTTCTTCACTATGAAATGCCAAGCAATCCTGGGCAAGACTTAGAGTTGAAAAGGACATCAAATGGGCAGGAAATACATGGTAGCAAATGGTCTTTTCTATATCCGTGTGTCACTTTTCTGTGTCTTACAGAAAGTTTGTGTTCAGGATTAGTGTTTAGACAGAAACATGGCACAGACTTATGGGAAATAAACTTCCTATGAGGTAAGAATAGAAGGCTTAACCTGGTCCAGAATCAGGGGAGGAGGATAGATGTCAAAGGGTCAAATTAGGACATTCTCTGTAAGCCTCAAAATTCATTGTTATGGATATTCCATTCCCAAACACTCAAGAAATTGACATGATAATATCATATGCCAGACCATATATCAAATATCCCTTCATAAAGGATCCAAATTTAAATGCTCAATTATCTAAGTCTTAAAGATAGATTAAGTTGCAAGGTTCAAAGAAAAATATAATACATACTATACGACCTTCAGTTGCTTCTCCCAGCAGTCCTCCAAACGTGATGACAGGAGACATACACGCGCAGTAGAGAAATAGAAAAGATGCTAAACACTGCAGGCTGAAAGCATCTCTGAAGTCACTCCAGAAGAACGGAGCTTTTCTTTTGATATCTAAAATAAGTCCCCCAAAAATCCTAAGACATGGAGGGAAACACAACAGTGAAATCCAAATATAAAAACACATAAATCAAAATGCTCATTTGCTTTGTTGCCAGGTCACAGTACACCTTTTCCTTTAGCAGAGGAAAGACCATTTTCACCTGCTACATTGCATTTCTGTGACCTACAGGGATGGCTTTGCACCACTATGTCGCTTCAATTCCTAACCAAATATGTATCAACAAGTAAAGATCCCAGGTTCTCTAGACTAAGATTCATCACAGCTTGTCAATCAAAATTCAAATAGTGAGATTCAAGGACTCCTCTAATCTCTGTACCATTTCCATGTCAATCTACTCCATCTAAACTAAGGCCTACTCTTCCCAATCCCTGGCATATTTCCTAATTATGTGCATCCATCTAAGAGTAGAAAGCAGAAGCAGGGCTAACTGGCTTTAGCACGCTCCCATAGTGAAAATCATCCTAGAGAGAAAAAAGTAATGTTTAACCCCGGCTCCATTTATCTATTCTCTGCCAAAAGAGTGTAGGCTCTAAGCAGATTTCTAAATGCTATGAATAACAGCAGTACATAGAAAACAGATAGGTTCCAGAGTTGCTTTTATTTGTAGGACACGAGAAAGGCAGTCAATGCATCTCCTGCTGCCTAAACATATTCTAATAGTCATCACTCACAAGAAAATAATGACCATACTTGAAATAATTCTTTTTTAACAGTACTACTAGTATTACCAAAACTACTAATATACTACTAATCTTACCAAAACTACATTAAAGCACTTAAAAGAGGATGGAGCAGTTATTAAACTGTGAAATGATGCTTATATTTTGAGGCTATTTTCAATCTATAAGAAACGACAACATTAATAAACAGGTAATTTCTTTCTTTGAACCTTTAATAATAATATTCAGACTTAACACTTAACTAATGAAGTCTGTACTCCATGAAATACAGATGTGATATTAAAGTGAATTAAGAGTGTATCTGAGTTTGTCCATGAAGGTTAATGACAAAAAGTCTTATGTTTCAGATTTCTTCCAGAATGCTAAAGATGCCGGGACCATACAAAAATGTTAAAGTTTTATTATTTATATTATAAATAGGAGTATTCATTTGACATACTGTGAGTCATCTCAGAAACGATTGTTCTCCTTAGAAGTAAATTATGATTAACCTTAAAAAAAGTATATACTCAAAATAGCTGAAAACCTTTATCTAATCAAACATAATAGTTACATGTCAGTATCTTATGATTAAGTGAAAATGGAATCACTGTTTTCCTAGGGACTGCTTCCATCAGGAGAGGGATGAAAAGACTGAAACTTAAATTACAAAAAAGGGCATCTGAAACTTACAGAAGCTTACAGAGAACCTGTGAAATTTACACACACAGAAAGCTTATCTTAGGTTTCCCCACCAGTGTTTGACAAAATATATGTATATTTTAAATTCTGAATAATTCTGAAATTTTAGTTTTTGCATAATTTGTTACCTTATCAAAGTCACAATTCAAAACAGATTCCCTTTACCAGGATGTGCATTCATTTTTAATTTATATATCATATAATTTCCAAAAGAACTTAAGGTGGTTGTGAACTACTAATTAGAAATTAGTAGAGCCAGGGATATAGCTCCGTGGCATGGTGATTGTCAAGCAAGAGCAAGGTGTTCAGTTCAATTCCCAGTACAAAAAAAAAAAGGAAAATATATAAATAATTATAAATAATGTTTGAAAAAGAAATCAGCATTCATAGTTTGAAAACATTTCATATTAGACCACTGCTTTCTAATTAGCTACTTATTAGAGCATAACTTAGTGTGAATAGCTGTTTTGTAACTGTGCAATCAATGTGCTTTTAGTGATAGAATTCTAAATCCAGAAGTGGAAGTTCATTACAGAGAACAGTGCAAGAGCAGCCCAGATGTACACCAGCAACTCCAGGACAGCAGGTGAGTAATGGACACTTCAAGTCATTTCAGCAACAGAATCTGTGGAAGAACTCTGGGGAAGCGAAGATACTGGATATTGGTGACATGGGAGGACTTAGGAAGCAGTAAGGAAATGTGAACTTGAAAAAAAAATCTGAGCTATGTGACATGTTACACTCTAGAAAAAAGGGAAAAAAATACCAAAATTTGTTTTAAAAACTTTACACTTGGAAATATGAAAGCAAACAGAATGAGTAACAAAGTTTTAGGTGAAGGAAAAAGAAAACAATCAAGCCATCTCAAATTAGGTATCAGTCCTGAGTAAGTGTTACAGAATAATTCCTCAGAGACAAAATATAGAACACGGGCAAATTAAAATGCACAGAATAGTCAGGAACTAGAAAGGCACCTCAGAGGACACACAGGAAGCAGTATATAAATGGCCTTGAAGGGAAGGAGGCACCAATTCTGCAGAGTCTTTGCAAATGCCTTTAATTATAAAAGAATTTATATACGCAAGTTCCCTGAAGAGAGACCCATCCAAGGGCTTCTAATTTTCTGCTCACACATTGTTTTGAGAGACAAGCTGCCAAAAAAAAAAAAAAAAAGCAAAAACAAAAAACCCTATAAAGTCATTTTATGAAGTAAATTGAAGCTTTCATCTCTTCAAAGATGTGTACTTAGAAAAATAAATCATGAAACTCTTTCAAATCACAGTAGTAAAGTAAAAAATAACATTATGTACATCCTACTTGCACTTAATGCGGTAAGGCCCTCAAAACTGAGTTCTTGATGTTTACTTTTATTTCCATCTTGAACTTGAAGCTGTCAAGGAGCTCTTTTGAAAGAGTCAATGGACAGTTTTCTTATTTGCTCTAAGAATCTGTGAATGTGTTTTATGCTCAGCAAAATCTAAAACTGGGTAAGAAAATAGAATGATGTGTCTACTGTTCTGATGTAACAGTAATGATTGTCAGTAACTTCAGAGAAATCAAAGTAATTGGCATATTCACACCCGAAAATAGGTATTATTAGTATAAAATGAATTATACCTCAAAATAGTAAGTCCTGCCAGACAAAAACGACATGTTATTTGGTCCTTGAATCCAATGGAAGTAGTTTCCACCAACCTTCCAGTTCGCTGGAGTTCAGGTCCACTATGTCCTCCGTGCTGCTCGGTTTCCCCATGAGCTGCTGTTCCATTTGGTACAGCAGGAATCTTCCTCTTCTCCTGCAAGAAGTTTTGTTGTTGCTTTTGTTTTAATTTGATGTGTTAATTTTAATAACAATTTTTTTTCTTGAAGCAATCCTCATAAGGACTAAGAATCCAAATCATATGACTTATTGGCTGTTTGATGTCTGGGAAGTTATCTAGCCTCCTAAAGCTTCAGTATCTTCTTCCATTTATGGAAGCTTACTACATTAACCATCTTATAATTAAATGACATGATGGGCATTTATGGATTATTTAACATTGAGTGTCTATGTGACATTTAGAGCTAGACAGGCTAGATTTGTAAATACAACTGAGAAAGAGGGTCCTTTGGCCAGTGGGTATGCCTTAGTAATAGAATGCTTTCCTGGTATGATCAAGAAGAAATGGTTGACTTTAAGTGGGGTAGTGCTTATCAGTAGGTTCTTGTCGTTAAAAGCATGGAAATCAGCAGTGGATATAGTGGTAGTGACATCAGTCGATTTTTTGTTAATAGTATGTTGCTTGTTAATAATCATAGAAAACAGAACAAAGCATGCATGCTAAAAAGAGAAAAAAGAGAATTGTTAGAGTAGAGATGAGACCCAGTTTAGAAGTAGAAGGCTTATTTTGGATAGTTCATAGTAGTAATAAATGGGAAGGCACAGTATGTATTTACACATGCTGGCACTGACAAATGGTAATATATGAGAGTGAGGTCAGAAGGGTTGTGCAGAAGGTTTGAGGAGAGAATGGGAAATAGGACATAGTCATCTGAAAACAGTAACTGTATTTGGGAAGGAGAGTGTGGTAAAGTTGTGCGAAGAAGGACCCACTTGAGGTATGTGATCATGAACTTATGTGTGACCAGTCAATATAGTTGTATACTTTCCTTTGGCCTCAACTGTATCAATGTACAAAGTACATGTGTACCGTATACAAAGTAAATAGTTGGATTCTCATAGGGTTGTGAATTTAACAAGCAAGCATGTGGCATGAAGAATGCAAAGCTGCTAAGGGCATATACAAAGAAGTTATTATCGTAAGTGACACAGAGTTCTAATAAATATTTTCATGATTATCCTTTGAGGTCACAAGTCATTTTTCTTTTAAGTGACAAGGAAAAAGAACCTAAAAGCTGTGATTAACATATTTCAAAAGAATAAAAACCAAGAGAAATATTCCCTAGGAAAAATATTATATGAGTATGAAGTCAGGGTTCTTAATGCATGTTAGTTCATTTAGTCTACCTAATAAAAGGAAAAAAGGAAACTTCACACTTCTTTTAACTACAACATGAATTTTAAAATATAATTTTGAATGTGACTTGTTAGATTGCTGTTTTGTATTGACCTATTTATTCAAATCTGTTATGATTGATAATATCGAATCTGAGAGTATAGGCAACAACACTGAAGCTGACAAGGATTCACTAGGATACCCACTCTGGTTTGATTATGCTTTTGAAGTCTTCTAATGTCCCAATGTTTTGTTTTTATTAATATTGTTATGTATTGCTATATTCAATTATACTATGCTTGGTGATACAGTCAATTCTATTGAAGATAACAAAAGATGTCATAGTAACCATTGTAGATCAACTTGTATTGTGGTTTTATATGATTTTTTTATTTCATGTTTTTCTAGGAATTTGTTTTGTTTTGTCTTGCTTATATTTGTTTTTTCCTCTAATTCAGAAAGGATACATATACATGTAGAGATTCATGCATGCATAGAACTTATAAAAAGTCTAAGACAACTGATTACATAACACATGATGAAACGAACTACTTTGCAGAAAAAGAGACACTGCAGTACCCATTGCTGACTCTGAAATGTCATGATGTGAAATCCAGCAATACTATTATTCTTTGTTCAGAATGATTTTAGTATGTTTTGCATTGTTTAATTTCAGCATAGGTGAAGGTATGGACAACTATTTTGAAGAGAATGAGAGACACTGTGACAACGATTGTTGATTTCCCTATTGTCTGGTCTTGAAGATGTAAAACGCCTTCATCATCCTGTTCAGATCAGTTTTATACTATGTTGTTTTGTATGAATTCACTGTATATGAAGACTATTTGGAAGAAAACAAGAGACACGATAGCTAGTGAAGATCTCTGGATGTCTTGCTTTGAAATTTATGTCTCTTACATTGCTTTCTTATGTTCTCTTTTGGTTGTGTTTAATTTTACCCTCTTTAAAATAAAAATAAAAAATATATTGTATTGAATCATACAGCATCTAATTCAAACTCATTATATAAAATTATGCTTTCTAATATGACAGCCATAATCTCATGTCATTATAAATGTAAAATAATTAAAACAAAAATTTGCTACTTTGGTTTTAGTAGCTACATTTCTAGTGCTTAATAATAACTCGACTATTAAGAAGCATGGATATAGAACATTTCCAGAATGTTCTATTGATAACACTGATGTAGAACGTCAGTACAGAGAGAATGAAACATCTGTTCGAGGTCATACAAATACACAATGGCAGATCCCAGATTCCTAATTCCATGTTCTTTGTACTACTGCCTCTCATCCCTGAATTTGCTAATTAATTCTTATTATCTTATAAAAATAATAAAAATATAGACTTCTTATTCTTCAAGTTGGCTCAAAAACACCATTCCCCAAGAATAGTAACTTAAAATTTTTCTACAACTAATTAATGTTGAGATTTTTAAACTTTTATCCTCAATGAGGTTTATTGTTGTTGTTGTTTTGGTTTGGTTTTTTGGGTTTTTTTTTTTTTTTTTATTGGTACCAGAGATCAAACTCACAACTGTACGATTGCAAGCAGGAGCTTATGTCGCTGAGCTAAATCCCCAGCCTCCTCAATGGGTCTTTTGCTATGTTTTGGTATGTTTTGTTTTGTTTTTGAGACAAGGTCTCACTAGGCAGTTCGGGCTTGCTTTGAATTCACGATGTAGCCCAGACTGGCCTCAAATTAGTGGTGAACCTCTTGATTTAACTTCCCAAATCCTGGGACTACAAGTGTGCATCACAGTGCCTGGCTAGTTAATATTTTTATTGAATTTCTCCAAATAACATAAAGAATTTCTTTCTTATTACTTCAGAAAGAATTATATTGCCTTTCCCTTTAGTGCAAAGATGTATATAAGAATAGAAATGAGTTAAACTTTACAAGTATTCCTTAAGCATTCAGTTTTAGTAGAGTAATTATAACTGTGTGGTGGCAGTTTAAAAACTCAAAACGTGTAATTATTAAGAAAATGAAGGTAAAGTCTATAATAATTATAGAATTAATAAATACATGGGTGTCATATATTGACATACTTACATATCAATATATTTTTCTTAAACTGACAGTGGAGTTCAGGTGACCTTTTTAAGTACTCGTGGTTAATGGATGCACCTGCTCACTTGCTCATCTCTGACTGACCAGAAAAAATTCTAAATCCAGGACTGGGTCAGTCTGGCCTTTGGTATGTTCAGCCAGAGCAGCAGCATCAGACCAGCCTGGACTCCGCAGAAACAGCGCCAGAGACAAGGCTGATTAGATGATAAGTGGGCGAGTGCTAGAGAAGGTACAGAAGGAATCCTCCGGCAGTGTGAGGAGGAGGCTCTGAACACATCTGGCTACCACTCTCAAGAGTAATGCTTGCAATAAGAAAATGACTCTCAAAGGAAGCAATATTCTTTATTTTTACTTTTCTGGGAAGCATGCTAGGGAAAATACCCAGTCAATTTTCACAGGTGGAATTTTTACAGTTTTTATACCTTATATTTACACAAAAGTAATATAAACATAAGAATTGTAATAACAATCTTCCATTTTCACTGTGACTAGCAGTAACAAGTTTTCTACATAATGTGACTAAGCCATGTCTCTGAATTTTCCTAATACTTGCCAACTTCAAAGTAAAGTGTCAGAACATAAAAAGATACTGGTAGAGTTTATCTCAGGCCATACTTTATATTGTTTTTAAAATGTAATATCTTTTTAAATTGAGCCTAAAATCTGTCCAGGTACATAAAGACTAGCTCAGTGGCTTATCATCAAAATACCAAATTTCTCAGGGTAGGGTGACATCTAGTATTAAGGAAGGTTTTGTAAATTCATGCTTCTTCTATCTTACGTTATAATTTAAGCCACTTGAAACTTTCTGAAGGATATAAAATAGACTATAAAATAGTGAGATTTTAAAGAATGTTACCAAATATCCATACCTGAGAAGGAACATTTTTGGGAGGTTCTATTCGAATGCTTGGGTCCCATTCTCCAGGAGGGAGGACAGTAACTTGATCCAGAAATTCATCAATTCCTGATACCAAGTCATTGCGATCTTTAGCTTTGTAAGCAACATCATGAAATACCTATAGGAGAAGTTTCAAAAATTATTAAAAATTTTGGTATATTCAGTTCCCAATATCTTACATGGGATTTAACATTTTAAAGATATCTCTCACTCTAAAGAGGTTTGTAATGCAAAATATTCTAACTTATTTTATGAATCTGCAAAAGATAACTTTTTCTTTGAATGCTAGAATGAGAACTGAAATTTCTGTAGATGAGAAGTATGGGAAAAGAAAAAGAGAATGAAAGATAGCTCATTAAACCAACATTAATGCTGTAAGTTAGACAAAGCTTTGGGAGTTTGTTTGTTTTTGAGACAGGATCTCACTACACAGTTCAGATTGGCCCTGAACTCACAGCAATCCTCCTGCCTCAACTTCCCAAGTTCTGGAATTATAGACAACCATGTTCAACTATACAAAGATTATTTATGTGTGACTAAAACAAAACTATTTGGAGGAAACTCTGGATTAAAAAATGGAGATCAAAATTTTAGGATATATTAGAAATTTTATACTCTGGCATCTATAACAAAATTTAAAATTTATTTGTTTGAAAATTATGTTAATATTTTATGTGCATATATTTATAAAGTGAGGAAAGTGAATTTCTTTTGAAAGTCTATTTGATACACACACACACACACACACACACACACACACACACACATACACACACAACATCATTAAGGCTGCTCATAAATATTCCAGGCCTTCCTGAGATACATGATAAGGTAGCTTTTTTTTTTTCTTTTGACGTTCTTTTACAGTTGAAGTAAGAGAAGGCAATTCAGGTATATATGTGTTCTCTTACACTAGAAGTTATGAGCACCAGTGTGGGTGTTACCATATTACTTTTGTCTGGTCTATTGATTGAAAAACTTAAGTCTAAAATTGAGCTTTTGTGAGCCTAACTGTGTAAGTGCCTAATGAGCAGAAATTCTCACAAGATTGTGTTGGACATTCAGCATGATGGAAATAAACATTTGTTGCTCTAAGCCACTGAAATTTTAACTGGTTATCCCTAAAGCACAATCTAACTTCTGTCATAAACAGGAATAATATACTCAGTAAACTAGGAAAGGAAAAATAAGAATAAAATGTAAAATTAATTTACACTAAACATAATATATTTCTGACACATTTTGTATTTCACGTAAGATGAAATGAAGCAGAAAAACATTTGAGGTAGGAATTTCTTTATTATTCTTTATGCTGGCCTGTAGTAAAGTGACAAAATATCCCAAAATTTCCAGGAAAAATTCGCTTTCAAATATTCTTTTCTGCTTTTAGACCATCTCTTTCAGTTTTTGGTTTGGCATCAATTGAAACTGCTGACGAAGTGATGAACCTTTTTTTGAAGAATTTTCTTGACTTTCCATCTAAGAACATAAAATGCCGTTGATGCAATACAGTTTTTCTTTAGAATAATATAAAAATGTCAAAGATATAGTAATGGTTTTGTTATATTTTGAGTAAGGTTTTTTAAGTGTTAAAAATAAAAATTTCCCTGTCATAAACCACCGATTTTCTGGCTCAGATTATCCATTTCTAAAGATCTTTAGAAGGGCCTCAGACATAATCTGAACATTTAAAAACTGCAACGTTCCTTAATACTCAATGAGAGTTTAACCACTGTATTCTTTTCCTGATAATAGCAACTCTCTTTTTGACATAATATCATTTAATTAAAAACTACTTCATAGATTACATGATCCTATGCCTTGCTTTAGATAGGTTTAAATTTCATCCAGAGCAGCCAATTCCCTATTATTTTAAAGCTCCTCAAAGATAGAGACACCAAAATTTGATTTTAAATCATAAATACTATTGTTATTGTTTTCTTATTACCAATTTCTCCAATAACGTAATTTTTTTACGTTGTACTTCTTTCTTGTCTTTAACTAGCTATGTTAATGCAAATACATCTGACTTCTCATAAAAACCTTTCTGAGCCTTTCTCAAATAAGATTAGACACTTTGTTAATACTCTAGAATAGAACTTTGTCCTTGATAGCTTTCAGGGTAATCATGTTTTTACTACAATTAATTGTCAATTATGTAATTAATTTAATGCTTGCTTCTCTGTTAAAAAGACCTCTGAAAATTTAAAAAGCATTGGAAAAATATTCAATAAATATGCATTATATTGTTTAGGTGCTAAGAATACAGCAATGAAAAAGATCAATAAAAATGCATGATCTCATGGAGCTTATATTCTAGTGATGGAGGAAGAAGAAAAATAATATAAACATATATTTAATGAGTGACAGAACGTAATATGAAGACAATAAAGCAGGAGAGAAGGACAGGGTATGCTACAGTTTTTAAAAGAATGATTAAGAATAACCTCAGTGAGTAGACATTTCAGCAAAGATCCTGATACTCAGATTTAATCAAAGTTCTATAATGGAAGATGCTATGCTAAGCAGTAAGAAATTTTATGTTAAGAATGGGGGTGACAGATACTCATTTCATACATTTTTCTTAAGTAGCAACTATTCATTACATACATTTGCCGTTTGAACAAAAGAGTTTGTGTTGACTTGAGATCTGAAAGAGGGAAAACTTACCTTGAGAATTGGGAACATGAAAAACACCATTTTTTTCTTAGAAAAAATTTGATTTGATTTTTTCTTTTGTTTTTATAAACATTGTTAGCTGTGTATATGATGGCTTTACTATATGAATTTAAAATGAATTCATAAATACATATTTTTAAGTTTTCAGTTTTCAGCTCCATTATGATACATATTAGCATAGCTATATATACAAAAGCTGCTCAGAGGTTTAATTAAGAATGTGAAGGATGCTTACATAGGTAGCAGGAAAGATAATCACAATCACGATTCATTTCTAGTAAAACTCCATAGAAATGAAAAACTAGATTACTGAGCTGATTCAAAATATGATATTGGTAAGAGACTTATACATTGATCCCTAATTCATTTAAAAAAATTTCTGAACACTGACTGATACTAGTCTAAGGCTGAAGATGCAGAAGGAAAAGATAATCTACAAAAAGTTTACAGTACAAAGAGAAAAAAACACAGAGCTCAGTTTAACAGAGATTTAGTTAAAGGCTTGAAAAAGTCAGGACAGAAACATGAATACTAAGAAGTTACTGTAGAGAATTTACAGCTTGATAATACAATCCAATTTACATTTCTTCTGCAAATAACCATAGTGAAGTTTATATTTAATGAACATAATTATTCAGAGGACTTCAAAGTCATATGATAAGCATCTTGACGTTGAACAATTAAAAAATCATATTTTAAAAAAGTACTTAAAAGGAATATAACTCAACTGTTAGAGCACTTGCATGGCACATAGGAGGTCCTAAGTTCAATCTCTAGAATTGTTTAAAATAAAAAGGTATTTAAATATTCTTTCATGATAAATCACTGTCCTTTATTAACATCTATTTATAAATAACATATTTTATCTTTAAAAGTAATTTTCTGATTTGTTTTCTTTTTCTCTACCAAACTTCCTTCAGTGTTACAAATTGCTCTAATCCTAAACTCAAGCTTTTCAAGTCTAAAGAATTTATTTTCAAGTTGTATTATATGGCAAATTTCATTAAATAGAGAAAATTGCTACATGTCCATTCTCTGCTCTCATTTTAAATATAAAATTTATTGAATGTGAATGTTTCCCTAATGTTTTATGTCTTTTTAATTGGTCAAAATATTTTCAAAACTGACACTTTCCTATTGAGAAACTTTTGATTCTCCTTTGGGGAAAGGGAGGATAGAAAAAAGATCCATGCATCTCACACAATGTAAAATGCTACTCTCACATGGCATTTCCCATACCTCACAGATACCTTAATGTAATGTTCTAATGTCTTATTTGAGAAGAAATTTTAGTGTTTAGCATTTCATGCTTTGAATATGAAAATAGTAATACTTAACTTGTAGAGTATAAGGCAAAGTATCATTTTATAACACTGTAAAATGCACAATATTAATATCGAAATAATAAAAGCCATGATAGTAAGAAAGAACTCTCACAGAAAGTCCTACCAGTAGAAATAAGTCTTTTCCAATGTGATGAAAATAATGATCTCAAAATGAAATCAACACGTGATGATAGCAGCAGAGATCTCCAAGTTCTGCTGCGACAAGCCAAGAAGCCATCAGAAAATGAAAGAGACTAAAAGGATCCCTCCTTGGTATCTCCAGAGGGGATGATCCTGCTAACACCTGGACTTTAGATCCTAGCCTCAAAAAGTGTGACAAAATTAATTACTGTCTTTTTAAACAACTCAGTTCTGAGAATTTTTTTATGACACCATGGAAACTAATATACTAATTAAGTTGGTTCTTTTTGAAAATTGATGAAAAATAAATTTTAATTTTTTGTACAACTATCAATAGTTAGTTCACATAAAACATAAGGTAAAAAGATAGTAGAATTTATAATATCAAATGTCAAACCACCCAGGGCCTCATACACACATGCACGAAAGAATACTATCACTGAACTGCTCCCTATGCTCCTCCTTTTGAGACAGTCTAAGTTATCCAACTGGCCTCTAATTTGGAACTTTCTTGCTTCTGCCTGCTGAACAACTAGAATTACAGGTGTGTACTGGATTAATTGGCTATTTGGCAGAATTTTAAAGGATTTGTAGCATGTATGACAATAAATGCATTAATAAATTATTTAGTAGATATTTTAAATACTGCATAATCTCATTTACACATTTATTACTAATTCCTTTCAGTGATCTTTCACATCTGCTCTTTAACCATAATAACAAATTTCCATACTATATTTCAGTATGCAAGTCAAAGAAAAGTTATATTATATTATTTCATATTATTTTTTTTTAGATATTCATCTCTTTAATGAGCTAATGAAAGCTTTTTGGTCCAACAGAATCCACATACAAATCTTATTACAAAATTTATGTATAAAATATATATATATATATATATATATATATATATATAAATAAGTATCCACATATAAATCTTATTACAAAAATTATGTATAAAATATATATATAAGTATATATATGTATATATATATATATATATTATGTGTGTATGTATGTGTTATATTAGGGAGATCATAAGGCCCTTAAAATCTGTCTACAGGGACTGAGGATTTAGCTCAGTGACAAGTGCCTGCCTGGCAAGCACAAGGTCGTGAGTTTGATCCTTGGTAACAAAAACAACAACAACAAAAAAAAAACCACCAAAAACCAACCAAACAAACAAACAAAAACAGAGAATATTAACATATACTAAATGCTATTATAGATTTTTTTCTTCAGAATGTTAGGGTTCAAAATATTATATCAATGTATGTAAATTTACTATTCATTTTGATCTAATTTTTCTCACAATAATTAGTTAAAATTGGATTCAATACAAAAAAATCAGATTCACAACAAATTGTCATGAAGACAGAACCTCCAAAAGTCAAGTATACAGGACTGGGGGGTTAGCTCAGCAGCATAACCACCTGTCTGGCAAGCATGAAGTTGTGAGTTTGATCTCTGGTACCAAAAAAAAAAAAAAAAAAAAAAAAAAGAAGAAGAAGAAGAAGAAGAAGAAGAAGAGGAAGTCAAGTAAACTTAGTTGGGGACAATGTTCTAAATAACTGGAATAAATACCTCATCTGTCATTAGGGTTGCAATTGATCTTCCAATCTCATGGTACTGTTGACCTTTTCCCAGGGGTCCCAGAAGAATGAACAAAAATCTGTAATTAAGAAGAAAAAAAGAGAAATGTTTCAAGGTAGAAATATAAAATAATTTTAACAATGCAGAATAACTTATCTCAAAGCAATAAAAATGAAGAATTATATGTGAAATATTTCTATAGCTTTTCAAAGTACATTATTAACTTGAAACATTTTTAAATGATTGACTTATGCATACAATCTTGATCATGTGAATACATAGTTATTTTTATCTCAGTGCTTCCCAATGTAGTTATATGTATAGCCTAGACTATTATTTTTGAGAGTTTTAGGAACTCTACTATCCTTAGAAGATGATGAGAATGCAAAGTCTGGCTACAATTTTCTGGACTGGAAGAAAGAAAATCAACTGTATCCAAATAGAGAACAGTTTAAAAGGAAAAAGATAACTGTAATACAAAGAGAAGATATGATCACTAACATGTAGTGATATGTAAATTTCATATTAGGTATAAAAGTATATTGGAATCAAAGACAAATTGGCGGAAAAAAGAATTAATCATTTAATAATTCCAATGCTAGAGGAATAAAAAATGATAGCTACACATTAGTTTTCCATCTAAATTAGGTTGAAGGGCTGGCAGAGTCATTACTACAATCTGTGCTTTTAAAGAAATCAAGGTAGACTCTAACTTTAGAGGACTGGTAATTGCTCTTATCTAGCAAAGGTCAATGCTTATGGGAAACTGTGAAAATTAAAGAATGCCCTATATTTTGCAGTACAGTTATAGGGTGTTAATTTGTTAAATGGTTTATGTTATTAGGAATGAAGAAAAATGGCTTAATAAGGCATAGTGATGTATTATACAATCGTAAAGGATCAGATTTGTTAATTTTTGTCAATTGTAACTGAATCCCAGTCAATTACTATAATACAAAAATATCTACTATGTATTAAAATAGGAGTACTTGAATGTAGTGGTGATACTTTATCAATTATAATAGTTCTAAGAAATTTCCTAACCTACGTACATCTTGCTATTTTTTAGACTTTCATTCCAAAGGCTATTTTTAAAGTTCTAAAAATTATTTTCTGACATTTGTACTACGTGTTGTTGTGATATTCATGATACCTATCCCCTTTTATCCTTTAAAAAGAGGATAATTGGGAATTCTAAAAGCTTTCTTTATCCTATTGCCTAGTTAATCTTCTCCTTTCCAAACTAAATAGTATATAGTACTTAAAATTTCTACTTACTTAATGGTTTCACAGTGCCTCTAACTTTCCCCAAATGATGTCTACACACGTTTTGTTGTGTCAGTATAAAATGAGGTCACTAAAATCTGACAGTTTTCAAAATGAGGGTGTATAACTCCATTTTGATTTTTCTCTACTCCTGAAAATTTTTCTTTTCTTTCCTTTGAAATACAAGAACCATCATTGTCATAAATAATTATCATTTACTAATAATTAGTCACGTACCTTCCAAAATGGTGGACCATAAATAGGATCTGGGCCAACTCAAAAGAATTTTAAACTGTTAAAGTATTATCTCTACTATTAGCAAATTTGACATGTCAAATTTGAATCTCAGATTTCTGAGAACTCTGAATTGGTTATACATTATGCATAGAAATATATAGCCTTCATACAATAAAACAATATGCTTAACTTTCCCCCTTTTTAATGAAATTGGATATATCAGAAATCTCGGTAGCCCTTAAACAGAATTAAAAGAAACTTCTATGATGTGATCAGAATGGTAACTAGATTTTTCCCTCACGCCTGAGTGGAAGGGTACTGCAGTGTGACTTCCACTCCAGTCAGCTAAATCCTTACAAAATGAGGCCTCCCTGGGATGCACTATTCTGAATTTCTGGGGAACCTTATTACATAATCAAAGCATGGAGTGATAAATCTGCTTTGTTTGAGTTAAGGCCAGGGATCCATAGAAGAAACAAATTCTGTAAACTCATTTTCATTGCACTTGAACATTTCGTCATTTTACATTTAATTTTTGCAAGAGGAACCATAACAACAACACATTGAGCAATTATAGCATCAAACAAGGGTGTCAGTTAAGAGGGAAATGGGGACCTCAATGGACGTCTTTTGCTGTGAGACTAGAACAAGAAAGAAAGGCTATTTGGTCCTGGGAATCACATTTGATGGTAAAAAAAGAGAAAGCTCTGGATAAATTGCTAGGAACCAAACATGTTAAAGTCAATATTCTCTTTATTGTTTATTTTTTCACAATTTTATCCTTAGATGTAGACTAACATCTTTAAAATAGAGACAAATGATAAACAATATAGTTTAATTTATGTGATCCCTAAACTATTAGTTTTGATGTATAGTTACATGAAAAACAAGTTCAGATTAAATAAAGTTAAATATTTACTTTCACTTAGCTTCAAACACACTTCTATTGTGATAAATATCAGTGATACTTCAGACCTTGTGTAAGAAAGGCCGGCGAGGCTAGGGCTAAAATACATGGTATATTTAATACGGCAGGCCCATCCCAGTGACGGCACTCACATGCATTTTGAAGGCTTACTCAAACATAAGCTAAATTTCAGAAACTAATCTTTTTCAGGATCACTCTTGAGGACTTTTTTTTTTTTTTTTTTTTTGGTACTGAACTCACGACCTCGTGCTTTCCAGGCAGGTGCTTATGTTGCTGAGCTAAATCCAGGGCCAAGGATTCTCTTTTTTATATACACAGTATAATGTAATCTTTAACAAAGGGTAATATTTAGTCATTTTGCACTAAAAGTGTAAGATAAGACTGGTGTGGTTACATAGACTAGAATACCTAGAAATAAAGAGTACATGTAAAGTAAAACGAGTTGAAGACTAAGGAAAAAGCCACAGAATGTTTTTTAAAAGCACTTCCTTTTCAGTCCACAAACAAGAAACAGTAGTATTGGGAATGATCCATTGGTTCCTTGTCAGAACTCTAGTATGAAATTATATTTAATCCTTATTTTCTTCCACAAAAATTAGGTAAGAAAAATGTAAAAGACATTTTCATACTTTTTACCTGGTTGGGATCGGGACTTCAGCCAGTCCCTGAAGTAGAACAGCTGGTGATAACCTGACAAACGCAACTACAGTTCTATCTAGGAACTCCAGTTCTCCAACTAAGATGTTTGAAGCTTCAGCACCTGGAGGAATCTTCTTCATGAAATGCAGATCAACCTGTGAGCGTTGCAAAGTAAATAAAGTAAATCAAAATTAGAAAACTTTGTAAATCACAGTCTATCACAGTGCTCCATAGATAATAACCCAGAGATAAATTTGGTTTAAATCCTACACATAGTTAAATGTATCACTTGCTCTTTTTCAATAATAATTTTTGTGGGTTATTTTAACTTGTCAACAATAATCTGAATATTCTAATTTTTCTATTCATAGTTGTTAAGATTCTCCAGCATAAGCAATCTTGAAGTGTTAAAAAAGGAAGTATTATCTGCTCAAATAAATAAATACACTGTCACTGTAATTTAATTCATGTTTGTCAATAAATTTAATATTTTATGCTGTTACCTTGATTTTACACAACATTTCCATTAATTAATATTACACTCATGGCTATTCAAGAGAAATATAACCATGCTTCTTTTTATGGTATAAATTATGATTTTAGACTTTACAGTATGTTAATTGCTCTGTATTCTTCATATTGCAAATTGTCTTCTAATTCTTCAATTTCTGTTTCTTATCATAGAATTTAGATACAAGAAAATAGAGGAAAATAAATAAAAGTATTAACATTCTGAGTGGTTGAAGATCCATGGTTGAATTTCTAACATGGGATGTCATTGATTGAAATGAATGAACACAAAACAAAAAGTGATCATTAAGAAGAAATGAAGTATAAAGAGTAGCATTTGAAAAATGAATGTTAAATATCCCTGCTAAGACTAATTGTCAATTTTTATGCCTGGGGATACAGTGAAAACTAAGCAATGACTTTAAAGTAAAATTTTTGCAAAGCCTTATTTCTCATTTCTAATTCACTTGAGTTGCTTTTTATGGAATTCCATTTTTAGGAGAATAGAACTTTATCTGCTCTGGTAATTGGTTTTATGCTCTCCTGTTAATGAAATGGGGAGGTCAAAAATCAAAGGAATAGTAGAGAAAAAGAGAAAAGAGCTTTGGCAAATATGGGTGATGCTGAGAAGGTATTTTTATATCATGTAATTATTTTTGTAGGTTTAATAATTTGAGTAAATTTTGCCAAGAAATTGAAGGTGAAAAAATTAAAACTCTTAAGAGTATTTTAGAAAATTTATGGCCAAACAATAGTGACTACATTAAATATATTGTTTTCTGAAACTGAGACCTTAGTACAACTATTTGGAACATTTATAAAGAATTAGTTTTTCTGAGGGATGAGTGCCAAAAATATAAATTCTAGAATGTGAAATATACAGGTTACTACAAGAATTAAATTTTAAAATAATCTGTGCTACTGCATTAAAAAACTGAATATAACCAATATTTTATTATATAAAAAAGAAAATTTAGCAAAGCACAACTGCCTATAAAAAGAAATACCAATATAAACTTCAAAGATTTTACACTACAAATGTATTTTCATGTATTAATTTATAAATTCATAAACCATGTATATTGGAATGTTATATGGATATGTTTTATAGGATCTATCTTTTTAATTTGGAGATAACAAATTTATTTATTTTATTAAGTAAGGTTACTTTTAGATTACTTTGGAATTTTTTGTATTTATTCTGCTAAATAATACAAATGTACATACTAAAAATGTTTTAAATTAGTAATGCTTTATATTTTCACTATAATGTTACAATAACAAAAAAGGAAATAAATGATTACCCATACATCCTTAGTCCTATAAAAAAACTAATTTTCATGTCTTTCAGAGCCCATATGAATAAACAATTAAATTTTGCACCAATAGAAAGAACAATGGTACAATATTAATACATTAGAACAAAATTTAAAATAAGAAAATAAAATTTAAAGAAACTATAAGTGGTAACCAATATAAGTTTTATTTGAAATACAAAATATAAATTCCATTTAGAAAACTTTCTTTTTTGTTTTTTACCAAGAATCAAACTCATGACCTCAAACATGTCAGGAAGGTGCTTATGCCACTGAGCTATATCCCCAACCACTAAAAAGCTTTCTTAAATTCATTAATTCTTCAAGAAAAATGCCACAGTTTTAACTATTATAAAGCCTGTCCCTCAAGTCTACGGCAATGATAGAAATTATTGCTTTAAAATTAAATCTAATTAAATCAAGAAGTACTGAGAACAGTAAAAATAGTTCATTTTTATTTAAAAATAATATATGGCCCTTAAACGTTTAAAAAGAGGTAAAACCTAATACATCATTAGTATCTATTATTTTAAAAAGACAATCAAATATATAAAAATTAATTTCAGATTAGTAAATTGATCTTTTAATTGAAAATATAATGAATTATTTTTATACATGTAATAGTCATATTCTTTGCCTTTTATTATTCTTGGAGTAGACATCTATCTGGAGACAATAGATTAAATAATTATATTATTACATATTATATTGTTACTGGGATAGCTCTATATAATATTCTTTTAATGTAACAAAAGATCACATTTAAGGACCACAATTACAGCTACCTAAAAAACAACCACTGGAAATTTAGGCTGAACTACATCCAATGGATTTAAATAGAAATCCTGAAAATTTCAGCGCCTATGAACAGGACTTTGAAGAATTCAGACTATACTCTTCTGTGTTTGGATTTATACTCTTGTTTTTGGGACTTCCAAATGTCTTGTAGTGCCAAGACATGAAAAAGTCTTTATCTGGATCATAAACTGTGAGTGAGAAACCAATAATGTCTAGAGAGAAAAATCATACAGAAAAATCATAGTAGAATTGGATGTATCTGGGCAAGCCACACACTTAGGATTGAGAATGGAAATTTAGGGGGAATGTTTACGTCTTAAATCCATTTTAGAAGCATAATAACTTTAATGGAGCTCTTTAGGATTCAGTTTTTTTGCTGGGTAAATGAGAATATGTCTAAAATTTCCTACCATTCTATGATTTAATAATCCAATATTTATCAGATGATTGACATACTAAAGATAGATGTAGAGGAAACTTCTTTCTGTAAGGAAATTGTGTGAAACTTTTTTACAGTCACTTGAAATAAAAAGGAATACCATTTTTAATAAAATAGTCATCTATCAGTTTCTTTAAAAAGAGGCATATATAATATTTTCACATGCTTTAAAAGAATTAAAATCTGGCAAATCAGATTAAATATTAAATGAATCCTTAAATGAGTAAAATCAGTGGGCTTATCTTTTGGAATGGTTAAAATAAATAGAAGGTCGGAAGCATACACAGGCAATCACATGAAGTGAGGAAGTAAATAAAAGAATTTTTTAAAGTGTCAAAATACAACTTGGGGAGTGACATATTAAGACTTAAAATATTTACATGAGCAAAGCAATCTGGAAGTTAGTTGAGCTTCATACATTCACTACCAACCTGAAATCGTTAGGCTAAAAAAATTTTAACTCATGAACTTGCATAATTCTGCAAAAAATTCGTTTCCATAGTGATGAATCATAACTGTTTTTTTCCAAACACTGCTTCTCTGCCCTGCTGGATTACAAAGCCAGACCTGTTATGGTTTGTTTATTTTTTAACTCCAAAATTAAAGACTAAAATTATTTTGAATATTATAGGTTTCATTAGAGATATCATCCCAAACACTAGTTAAGGTACTAGAGATCCAGGAAGGACCAAAACATTAAATTCTGGTCTGGTATTTATCTTGACACTACCATACCCACGGTATTAAAGATAATAATAGTAGTCACCTTTTTTAGCGTCTACTATATACCCAGCTACCCACCAGGATCTCCCTCCACGTTTTATTAAATCTTCACAAGAGAATCACAAATATGCATTATTATTATTATTATTATTATTATTATTTTATAAAGGAGGAGGTTGAAGCTTGGAGAACTTCTCCCAGACTTGATAGTTCATGTATGCTACACTCAGGATTTAATATGTCGTGCTTTTCCTGAAATGCCATGTTCTTTCCAATATGCCGTGATATGGACAAGAGACAGGAGGAGAGGTGGCTGTATGAGGGGGAAAGCAATAGAAATCCAATTTCCCTATTAAGTGGGCCAGTGAATGGAAAGGCAAAGATGTGTAAATGAATTAAAGGGTAGAAAATCTATTTTTCACTCTTATAGTTCTGATTGTTTGGGGGACTTGGAGATGAGACTACTGTCTTCAATTGAAAATTTTCATTTTCTTTCATGTGATGAAACACCTTTGAAGGCTGCAAAGATAGGTCACACAAACAAACAATGAAATGATATAGAGATACACATTCAGTACATATGGGTTATATTATTTTAAAAAGCTAAAAGATAATTTACGTTAAAGATGAGCTATGAGGTTTACAATCACTATTTTTGAGAATGTTAAATATGCCCTTGTTATACTGTTAATGCCTGCATAAGTATAATCAACTTTTTTTCTATTGCTCTTAAGACATTATTTCAAATTAAGGATATCAGAAATTAAATATATGGTAGTTTGTGACAATTTTATTCCAACTTGCAGATGAATGAAGATGCAATGCTTTAAAAAGATAATCTTTTAGAGTGGCAGATGGAATACATTTGACTGGTTTAATATTAGAATCACATGCCTCCATACAGTGAAATGAGCTTTGAACCACTGTAGAAATACAGTCCGAGGATTCCCTCACCTCTCTCTCTTGCTGGTGTGGAGGTCCTTTTTCATGCCTTTGTTTCATCCCACATGGACTAGTATGCCCCTTTTGTTGGCCTCCCAGTCCCTGCACGCATAATTAACAGGCTTAAGCTGGTACACCATGCTCCCAGGAGACTCCATCAGGCACCAGAGGGAGAGCATGCACATTAACTAGACCTAGATCATTTAGGCATTGTTACAGGGATTCTGAAACAGGTCCAAGGAACTAATTACTAAAAAAATCTCTTGAGAATCTTGATTCAGGCTACTTCCTTTACTGCTGTCTCCCATTCCCACCTCCTCCCACTGTGACAATCATTGCCAACACTTAAGTTTTATCAAAATATTAACTCTAAGTTAATACTGTTTCAGCCACTCAGATAAACAGAATTGTTCACCTTCCTCATTTTGAGCCAATATTAAAACTTTTCTATTCAACTCAGTTTTGATAATTTACAATTGAATAGAAACAATTTAAGGAATTTAAAGAATCACATTATTTCCACGACTTCATTGTTTTTCTTAAATACATTCAAGTAAATGAATGTATTTAAATTCTCTCCAATTAAAATATATCTCTCAACATACTCCTTGCTATGTTTTAATTCAAAATTCTATTTAGTTTTCGTTGTGTACTTCTAGGATTTCCTTATAATAAAGCTTTTCTCTGAATTATAATAATAATAAAACTTTATGTTACATTATTTGGTTTTTACACAAAGAGAAGACAAGTGATTTTGAATAAAACACAAGTTTTTAAACAACAGATTAAACTCCTATTGAAGTCTAGTTACTTATTTTAATGCAAGAACTAGATTGTACCAAGTGGCTGAATCCTGAAGATTGTCAAAAAACCTTAAACATTCATTTTGTGAATAAACAAAACATTACATGTGGTTTTAATGCTAACATTATCAAGCTCTGAGTAAGAAACAAAAAAGTAGTGCATGCAAAAATTTGTGTCAACACCTCTTGAAATAGATAGCAACTTCTAGCAGCAATTTAGCAGCTTACTTATATGGGAGAAGAGAAGAAAGCTTACCTTGCTAAAGTCAACAGTACTGTTTTCTCTGCTGACATCATTTTTATTTTCAATACAGGCTGGAGCAGACTGAGGAGAAACAACTTGACCTGCTAAAAGAAATTGTTATTACAGAATACAGTTACTTACATAGTTCTAGATATATTGGGTGAAATAAGAATGTCAATTAAACTAGAACTAATATTTCTTAATGTTTCATGAGATAAGCATGAAAGGTCAATATAAAATCTAATCAATACAAAAGTTCTTACTATCAGTTACAGATAGGAATGGGAGAAAACAGTCAAGAAAATTTAAACAAATTCTTGTTTTTAAAATTTTAAAGATTATTCTCCCTGAAGAAAGAGTGCTTTAAATATCTAAATTTAATCATAATTTTATACCACCAATGATTTCTAAGTACCTACCAAAGCAAATGGTATATACTTAGTTAAGACTTAAACTCAGACTGCAGAATTTAAAATGTTAAACATAAAATATAACTATCTGAAACTATGTATTGTCTTTAAAAAGTCAACCAAATACATTCTTCAGCATATTTTAGCTATTTTCATGTTAAGGTTTGGTTGGAAATATTGAATATAATAAATATGACTTTTATGACTGTATCTATTCAGTTAAAAAAAGCACATTGATACTGCTCTGCCATATGAGAAAAGATAAATTTGGGTTGCTTTAGATTTCCATTAACACTAACACAAACATTATTTTGTAGTTTATTCCCCATTAAAAAGAAGATGTTATTAAGTGGATAACAGGACTGGGAAAGTGACATGGTAGCTATGTCACATAGCTAGCTATGGTAGATTCTAATATTTATTAACTATGAAATATTCTTTGTGATAACAAGTCATCTAAAATCTGTACAAACTTAGCAATTAAATGAGATTAACCAGATTTACTTAATTCCACATGAATCTGTCTTCTTCCCTGATTTTTCATCATCTTGATTTTCTACTTTTGCTGTGAAATGAATTATGACAACTCAACTCTGAAGCTTTGACAGTATTAATGATCATAACTCAGTGACAGCAAAGTACTGTTCTTTCTCTAATCAGTCTTAGACATCAAAAATATTCTGCCCAGGTCTTGTCTCTCCATCTGCTTAAATTTCAGTTTTAACCCAAGTTCTCCTTTATTATCATTGGAGATATTGGAGAACTTTCTTAAACTCTACAGCATTCACAAAAACCTATTTCCTTTAAATTCTCTCCTGAAAGACCACTTAGTCTTTGTTACCTAGAAATTAATATAAGCACAAATAAAAGCACTATTAATTTCAAACATTACTAAAATTTTGCTTTTGGGGCTACTAAGCCTCTTAGAAGTCATGTACTCATAAGTACATTTTTCATGGTTTGAAAGTGTTATAGAAATAGGCTGAAGATTCTAGCAGTAAAATACTGCTTTGCTCTTCTTTTAAAAATTAAATAATACATTTGATGAAGATAAAAATAAAATGACTTTTAAAAGCAAATTTACCATATAGGGAAATTTTTTTTAACTTCAGAGAAATGTCAGACAAGTAGCATAAATCAGTTTCATTCTCCCATTTCTAACTGCATTGTGCAGTTATGACTGTGAACTGTTCATTAGCAGCCATTCAATTTACCATTCTCAAAATAATAACTGTAATTTTAAAAAACCTTTTACATAATGCATTTGTGGTACTAACAGATGTCTTCAATCACCAGTTTCACATCATTTCTCCATATTTTCATGAGTTAGAACATTAGATATCTTTAAACCTAAATTTATCGACTGTTCTGTAAAATTGAGCAGTAAAATATAATTCATGGGACAATTAAATGAATATCTGCTTCTCACAATAACTTATTTTATTTGATAAATACTGCATGGAAAAATAATTATTTAAGTCCATAGTAAACATATACAAATGAAGACTCAATCAATTCCGTACAAAATCAGCAACTTGGAAGAGATTGAACTGGATGGTAAATGTACTGGAATTTGAGATTTGAAGTAACTGAATATTTTTGGTTTTTGTTCATACAGGTAGAACATTTCATAAATTGTCATCAGTTCATTCAACATGTTTTAAACATTGATATATATTTTTCTTGAAAATAATTTCAAGATTGTATTAATATTATACATAATATATTTAGAGATTTACTGTTAACTATTTTTAATCTGAGATGATTTTTAAAATCACAAAATATTACTTTATAAGTTGATAATTAAGAAGCAATTGATGAATTACTTATCTTGAGTATTTTAAGTGATACTGACAGTGACCTAGTTAAGAATATTTAGCTAATAAACATACTAGATAACAATAAATTCCTTGTTATCTCTAGATTCTAGATATGCACATAGAATGTATGTTAGGTGTTAGGAAAAAGCATAAAAAGTATGAGTCTATGTAGGAACAAAAATCTTAAATTTTATATCTTTTATTTTTTTACAACTAACTATATATATATTCATCAAATAAAGTCCTGCAAAATTTAAAGACATTTCAAATCTTAGTATTATTTCTTAAAATACATATAAATTTGTTAAAATGAATTGACACATGTTAATGTGTGTCTTTTCAAGGCAACTTTGACAACTTGGAAGCTTACAATAAAATGTACACATTTATTACTTTAAAATTAAGCAATTTAAGTTTGTGTTATTTAGGAAAAAACAAGCCTTTAAATAAAGCGTAAAATTGTATTTGCTGTATATACAAAACTAAAATTTTCATGTGAATTATCATCCATAGGACTTCTAGAAACTTCATATATTAAAATAATCTGCATAATTCTGCTCCTAGTTATACTCTTTGTTTAAATACATCTTTTTAAAAATTTATTCCAAGTATTACTACTTTTCAGAAAAAACTGATGGACTTGGATTTCAAAATTAATTTCATGAACTCAAATACCAGTTCATCAAACAGTCAATAAATTTAAGTTTTGAAAAAGCTTCTCTAATTTTCTTGCTGATGTCAAGTGACAGTTTCAGGTGTACGATTTTTCAATCTCTCAGAAGCAGGTGCTGTTTGCAAAGGGAATTACAAAAATTCTACTAGAAATTTTTCCTTTTAGGAAAAAATGCTATAAAATTAGAAATTAAAAGCCACATATGTATAGATGCTTTAGAATTCTGACTTTAATAACTTTCTTATGTAATGATGCTTACAAACAAAAGTTTTAATCTATTTTTATATTGTGTTTACTTTGTGCAGTAATAACTACTCATAATATTGCTCATAAGTGAATATTATTGCAATATTTAATTACCTTCTTTACTATAAGATCTAAGTAATTTTGAATAATAAGCATTACTGTGAAAAAAACATTTACTAACTTGATAACTTTATTACATTCAATTATTAAAAAACTGATGAAAACTGGAAGTAATTAACATTTACTACTAAATGTGACTATTTAAATGTAAGCATTTGAGAAACCTAATACCATTCATCTCTATTTATCATATGTGTATAGTTTCTGATTTTTCAAATTCAGAGCTCTTCATTTCAATAAAAATTCTAGTATTTGTTCTATATTTTATCAATCAAAATGCATACTATATTTGTATGAATACCTGTTTAATTTTTTTGAGTTTGAATTGTTTTTTTCTCTAAGGACTTCAACGTAGGAATCATATACAAAACCATTATAGTTCATGCATTTTTCTCAGACAAATTACAAAGTTTCAGGGCAACCACTGGGAAAAATTGAGTGTAATATAATTCAAATGACTACTCACTAGAGAATAGAAGCCTAGCTTCTATTTCTCATAGAATAAATTTTTCACTAAGTCTAATGCTAGACTGGCATAGACCCTTCTTTCATGATTAAGCTGTGGTGGGCAAAAATATGAGATTATAACAAAAGTAGTATTTCATGACTTTAAGTCATATCAGTATCATTTAAATACTTCAGCACATAAACATATCTATAAATGTGCTGTCAGGAAATACTATATTAATTTTTATTATATTAAGTCATGTAAGTCTCTACATATAGTTCTCTTTTTAAATAAACTGCAAGTATTGTAAAAATAGCAGCTTTTAATTTCTATTTGGCCAAATTGCATCAGTCGGATAATATATCACTTAAGTATATCCTCATTTGCTACTACTCAATCCACTGTAAATCATGTGTACAAGAAGGAAACTGGGATGAAGACATGGAAGTACATTACTATTAACCTAGAGACCAAGCTGGTTACACTACCTCGAAACCTTCAACGCATTTAGAGTACCCAAAGGGTAGGAGATGAGGGAGGTACAGAGATGAGATGAGCCTGTTAGAGACAGACACAAGACAGAGCAAAATAAAGAAATATAAAGATGAATGACAAAGTTACATACATGTGTAACAATACAATTATTCATGGAAATAGAAAACATGAAGAAAGAAAGGGTAAATACTTAGAAAATGCTGATTAGGTGAACTATACCTCAAAACATGAAAACTATGCACATAATTAAACTTGGAAAAATTAGTATGCCTGAAAATAATTAATGCAATACAAGAAATACCAAATTTAAACACATCATCTTAGAAATATGTTGATTGTAAAGATGTACTCTTGACACTCCAAAACTCGACAACAACAACACAGCCACTTCTGTCAACAATGTCATTCCTGAGTTTTTGGAAGAACAATAATCTTCATTTAATGTTTGCTTCTACATGATTACTTTCTCTCAAGAAATTCTAGAACTGTTTTGTATGTTTATCTTTTTGTTTGAAGGTAGAACATTATTAAGGATAAATCTTAAACCATGGGTATCTCATTTATAAGACTATTATATTTAAAAAACAAGAAAACATAAATATCTAAACACATAAAGGCACCATGCATTAGAAATCAAAAGCAGAGCATTTTTAAAAGAAGTGATTATGAGATAATTGACTATATTTCCAAAAGCATAAATAAACAACATTCACAATACATAGCTGTACATCATTTTTAGGGATGGACTCTACCAAGATCTAAAATGTCAGTACATATCCCGTTCTTCCAAATCTAAAGGTTCTCCAGTGATCAGTGACTTAGCAGAATAAGTTAAAGACTTTTTGCCCTATAACTCTTTTGAGATTTTAAATGAAAGGTATTAGTGGAAAGCATTATAAATAGGAAGAAGAATAGATATGTGAAGGAAAAGGAATAGTTAGAAATTATTAGTAAAGATTAGGATGGAATGAAAATATCCTATACATAAGGAATTTAAGAGTCCCAAATTATTCTCAAAAACAAGAGTTTCACAGAGTAATAACATTTTATAACAGATTGGTAATTGAGATGTCTCAGTATGTGATTGTATAATCTAAATAATAAATACAAATTTATTTTATTTTCTAGATCACATGATACATCTTATTTATATTTTTAGAAAATCTTTCTGGTTTCAAGAAATTATTTGAATATTCTTGATATATTTATATTGATTACTTGCCACCCTTATGTTTTTCAGAGTTCTAATGTCAACGTGGGTATTATTTTTCTATTATTTTTGCCATTGTTTTGCCAAATATAACTGTCACTTTTTATTGAAACATCAGAATTAGGCATTTAGTTCTCACAGTTTTGATGCTTAATGAAAAGTGAAAGTTAAACACAACATGGTGACATTAAAAATGCATGGTGAATCCATACTGTTCCACATCTTAGTCCTGAATAGAATACCCAGAATATCAAGAAAAACTTATACGCAAAGTAAAGTAATGTATTTGGAGATAAAATTAACAACTTGTCACAAATTCCTCAAAAGGTGTGAAAAAAAGCCATGGTCTTGGGGAGTATAAAAACAAGGAAATACATTATCTTGTTAACTTAATTCGTACAACAAGAAAGATTCATATTAGAAAGTCTTGTACAGTGTCTGAATATTTAACCCTTGAGAATGCTACCAAGATAACATGCTCAGCAATTCAGTTAAAGAAATTAAAAATCTTATTCTAAATTACTCTTTTGGACTTTTTTATGTAAACAGCAGCTCATTTTTGAGGATTCAATTGCTTTACCCCTAAAACAAGAGGGAAATTGTATCTATCTCTATACTTTCAAAAGAAAGTATGATTTGTTGTTGAGTTTCTAGAAAATCCTTTAATTCCTATTCTATAAAAAAGAAAGTCACTCTTTTTTTCACATGAAATATTTTACTGAGCTTTTTAAATAAAAAGAATATTATTTTTACTCTCTTAGATGTTTAAAAATCCCTTTGAATCTCTCTGTATTATGTACTAGAAGTTTAAATCTCTATTACATGTTTTGAAACAGAATGTCAAATCTGTATTTATGGCTATGAATTTCAATTTGTTTGTTTATCTAGAGTTTGGCAGTTTTTAGAGTTCATAAGTAGATTGAGAACCTTAGTAGTAAAGGTCTTTCACACTTTTTACACTGCTGGTAGAGATTTATTTCTAAATTGGTGAAGTCTATACTTATTTTCAGAATTCTCAACACACATAATTATGTAAAGTGTGTGAGGAAGCAAAACAGAGTCATAAGGAGGTGTTATAATCCTAGGCTTAGAAAACCAATTCTGACAGCATACTCTACAACAATACTTAATTGGTTTTTTTTTTTTTTTTTTTTTTTTTTTTGTCTTTTTCATTTTTACCGGTACCAGGGATTGAACTCATGACCGCCTGCTTGCAAGGCAGGTGCTTATGCCACTGAGCTAAATCCCCAGCCCCCAACAATACTTAATTGGATATATGTGTTATTATATGTGTTTCCAAGTTTTTATTACCCTAACGTATGCCCTGAAAAGATTTGTATGTGTTTAGATAAAGGCTGATTGTACAGATGGTAACGGAATCACTCAGATCCTAGTTTTTGGAAAAACTAAGCTATTTCCTGAATAAGACAAAAAACAAGCTTTTGGAAAAACTTGTATCTGTATGTATCTATATGTGGACTTGTGATTCACTGCTATAATTCTATTATGTCTTCCAGATTTAACAGAAGTTTAAAGTAGTAACAGTAAATCTAGAGCCACATAATATTATAACAAAGAGTTGATCCAGTAAATTTCATACACTCCTCCCTTAAGAGAAGAAAAATGCAATTTAAGTTTTGTATAGTAAATATTAACCACAACCAAATTAGAGATGCAGATTATAGCTAATTTAAAATCTGAAATTATTGCTTTTTTGAAGAAAAACCATGTGTTCCTTACAGAAATATATTTTTTGATCTCCAGTAAAAGTGATAAAGTGAAGGTAAAAATTTATCTTTCCAAACTGTGCTTGATGGAGCTGGAGATATAGCTCAGAGGCATAAGTGTCTGCCTGGCAAGCACATGGTCCTGAGTTTGATTCCTGGTACAAAAAAAAACAAAACGCTGTGCTTGAATTGGAAAGTAGTTCATGGGTATATTTTGTTAAGATTTTTCTGAATCATATAGTAAAAGCCCCTAGTCAAAATTAGTTAATATCTGAGTCAGTTCTCTTAATATTATCAACCCAAATGAATACTAGCACTGCAAAAAACCCACTGAAGTTTATATTTCTCAAATTATGTCTCATTTTCTCATTAATGTAAAACATACACTTTAAATCGAATTTAGAATATGAATATATTTCAAATATATTATTTAACTCAAAACAAGTTATACATCATCAAAGTATTCAGTGGGGTCTACAAATACAAGTTAAGATATTCCCCAAAATACTCAGAACACTAGTGAATTTTTTGTCGGCACAATCACAGATTCCTTTATCTAACAGCAGTAACGTGTTCAGTCTTTGAAGGTCTTAAAAAAAGTATTTAAAATGTAATTTTGCCATTCAAGATTGGTTCTTATTCTGAAAGAAAATTTCATTAAACCATAAATTATGTATTTCATATTTGAATATATATATGATTCAATAATATGAAAATTGTGATACAAAGCAAACTGCAGAGAAAACTCATTTTCATACATTTGTATTTAGGTAACTCTGAGCCTTTTTAAAAACAAAATCACATAAGATATTCCATGCTTTTAATACATGTGCTTTAGTCCATTTTTGGAAACCAGTCTATTTAAATATTTGCAAAGACATTAATTTCATCTTTTAGAAATGCAAATTTTGTATAGTTGATGAAAAATTTAACCAATTGATATTATTTTCATACCAATTTCATTTTCCTCCATGAAACTAACAGAAAATACAAATAACATTACTAAACAACTTCCTTGTGTAAATGGTGAAAGGTTAATCAGATGTAAAAGAAAACAAAGGCTGTAGAAAGCATAAAATGAGCATAACTGCTGGAAAGCAGTGCTCATCTGTGTTGCCATGTGACGATGGCAAGTGAGGAGGCTCCTTAGACCCTGGAGATGTTGCACTGCAGACAGTAATGAGCTCACACGCTAGAATCAGTCTTCATATTCTGGAGAGCCACATCCAAGGTACCAGTGGGTCTTTTGATCATTATCTCCAATGGAGTTTGCTGACTATGAACAACAGGAAGCCAGTGTCTTTTCCTTTTTTGTTTTAACTAAAAGCCCAGTTATAGCATAATTTGAAGAACCACATTATTTTCTCAAGCTATGCAGACACTAGAACCTTGTTCCAGATGTGTAGATGCTTCATTTTTTTATTGTATTTGAACCTTTAAATTCTTTGCATTTTTTCATGAACCTTTCAAGAAATTTAAAATCTTTGTTAAAATTCCTACAATTTGGTGCTTGAAAACCAGACATGTACAGCACATACATAGGAAAAGAAACAATTCTACATTATACATTTCATAAAACATTTTCAAATTAAATATGTGTTAAAGATTTACACATATTTTGATATTTCAGAGACCTATAATAGATATAAGGAACACAATAAAGAAACACTTACCATTTTTGTCCATAGAATTTGGTTCTGACTGTTTCTTGCCAATGTCAGCAAATGATCGAACAATGGGTATACGGTTGGTGAGTTTCTTCTGATTCTGATGGTGATGCTGTTTCATCAGTGCCTCATGGACCCTGTGACGTACATCTTCATTCAACTGACCTGAGCTCACCTGTTGGTCAAGGACCATATCTGAAGTGGGAAGTAAAATAAACAAATGTAATTTCCTGTTGTAAATGTCCCAGCAGTGAAACAATGACTGCAAAAATGAAGATATTGAATGATATACATCTTGAAATGATTCCTTTGAAAAATCTCTAAATGTGATGTCAACAAACTATTTTTCTTTAGAGAAAATTTGTACAAGGAAAACACACAAGTTTTCACTATAAAAACCACTTGATAAATTTTAAATATATAATTCTTATGGATTAGTTTTTCAAATGGACATAGTTGTATTCTGAAAAGAAATAATGTTTTCTACATTGATGGGAAATAATTTATAGGACTAGTATAAGGATAATTAATATTCATGAATTTAGAAAGTGATTTTGTACTTATTTCAATATGATCTTCTCCCATTTTCCAGTAAAAAGTAATGTCTTTGTTTTCTCTTTATGTGAGCAAAGATCCGTAAGTGAAAATTCAGTTGAAGGAGACTAACAACCTAGTTGTCTGCATTTGCTAAGTAAATAGTTCTCCATATTGCTACTGATATAAAGTCATCCCTTTATAAAGTATTCTTTAAAAATGTGTTTTAAAATCTTTTAAAATCTAAATTGCATAACATAGAAGAGAAGATTTCAGAAGGCTATAACGAAGCAAATTGATATTTACCATACATAGCCCTAGAAATACAAATAAAATAAGTGGTTAAGTAAAAGCATTTTAACTTTCTTAACAATATAAATATCCCCTTAATAAACCTCAATGACTAGTTTTTTTTAAGATTACCACATATTAACTAGTTGATTTTGAAGCACACATTATGTAAAGCAGATCACATTGAACTGTTTTCCACTGCCATTTTGAGTACACTGAAAGTTTTACAGCTAGCAGAATGTTCCCTTACAAATTGTGCTTTGTCTCAGTATATAAAGGAAACAAATTAGAGGGAAAGACATGGGTAATTTACTCTGCCAAAATCTAACTATGTGACCACACAAAGTTAAATAATCTTAGTGTTCTTACTTGTAAAGTAGAAATAATATCTCTCTCCTATTTCTTTGCTAGGAGTAATAATATAAGATGTTATGGTTTGCATCTGGCTGTCCCCTCAAAGTCTCATATGGAAAAGGAGTATGGACATTGCACAGGGGGCTGAATCTAGAGTGCTGATTCATGATCCAATGCTGGGATTAAGAGTGTGAGTGCTGTAACTGTTTTAGGATAAGTAACTTGCATACAATGCCAGAGACATAAAGAGGCTCTCTCTCTCTCTCTCTCTCTCTCTCTCTCTCTCTCTCTCTCTCTCTCTGCTTTTAATGTCTTCTGCTGCCACTTACCATGTGCCACACTACTTTGGATTAAGCTGACAATGGACTGAAACATCTACAAACTGTGAGCTAAATAAACTTTCTCTCCTTTAACTTTGGTTGTCAGGTATTTTGTCTCTGCAGTGGGAAAAGCAACTAAGACATAAGGCAACTGATACTTGGATTGGAATTTGCCTTTGGTAAACATTTCCAAGCTCATAATTTTCTTTGAATTTTCCATTTACTAAATTATGAATCCCTGAATGAAATTTGTGGTGATCTTAGTACACTTGTAATTTTTAATAGAGTATCAAATAAAGTTGGGATTATCAACCAAAAATACAAATACAAATTAAGCTAATTAAAGTGATTCGTTGCATTGACTTACACAACAGAAAGACTAGAGTTGGCTGGCTGTGTTTCATTTCTCTGTGACTCTGTCTGCCTCCTCCTCTTCTATGTGCAAGCTTTAATCTCAAACCGACTTTCATAAAAGGATATCAGCAAAAAGGAAATAAATGTCCTAGTTCATATCTAGCAAGAAATTAGATTATTTATTTCTATTTCTTTTAATCTAGAAGGTTACCCTTTGTAAGTATTCTTTTTTTCTTTATCTAGGAAATTTTCAAAGTCCAACTGACTTAGCCCTGCCTTTTTGAACCAATCACTGATAATGGGGAAGGAATTTGTATAATTAGTAGACTAATGAAGATCTGCTCTTCACTCCAAATCATAGGCAGTCAAGTTTTTTCTGTAATTAAATGAGCAAGATAATAAATATTTTAAGCTTTGTGAGCCATATAATTTCTATCAGAACCATTGAATTCTGCCTTCATAGAACAAAAGCAGCCAGACCATATATATGGAATGTTTGGGATTTGGCCATTATAACTATCTCAAAGATCCCTTTCAATTCTGAAAATGTATATTATAGAATAATATTTAAGTCTCTGCTTCAGTTCTTTTGAGAATCAGTAGCTGTAATACCACTGAATTAATTTGAAATAAAGTAACTGATAAATTGTCAACATATGTTACCCTAAACCTGCTAAGATGAAAGGTAAGAAATTTATGTACAATGTGCATTATATACTTCCATAATATAAGTTTAAAATTGTTATAACTATAATACATCATCATTAAAAGGCAAATCCAACCATTAGCCCAATATGACTCCTAGTTTGGTATTCTATTCAGAATCAAAATTAATTATATAATAAGCTATACACATTTTTATCATTTTTAATTTATTAAAATAATTTATTATTATATTTGTCACAGTCTATCCAGGTTTGAGCATTACAAAAACCCATAGGTTGCTACTAGTTTGTTACTAGATGTTTCTCAGTGATATGCTCTTAATTTCAAAACATTTCATAAGAGAAAGTAAATATTTCTTTTAAAAATATCTCATCGGTTCACTAGTCACACAAAAATACACAGACAACTCCTCTAAAGTATAATTGCATCAAATAATTATTAATTAACAGGAAAAGTTAGTCTTCTTGCTTAAGAATATCTCTTATATTGAGGTGAGATGTAAGTACTAAAGAGAATCTGATTTAGTAATCACTTACATTGTTCTGTTCACCACTATAATATTCAGTACTAACTTGAATAATAGGGAAGGATAATGGAACATAATGGCTTTAAGCCCACAGTCAAGTCCTACAATCTCAGCAGGCTATGATGTGTAAATAATAGAGCTAGGTCGCCAAAGTACAATGCCAGGATTGCAATAAAAAGCAAGAAGATAAAGGATAAATAGGTCATACTGTTCTAATGTTAGACTCTAGAAAAACTAGCAGCGCTTATGTGAAAGGGCTTCAGAAAAACAAAAATTGTTTTTCATCCCAATTAGGTAATTATTTTATATCAGTCCATCTTGATGACCAAAACACTTGAGAATTTGAAAATATTGTATATATCTTTGTCTTCCTCAAGATTCTCATGTAACCTTAACTTCAAATTATAATGAGGGTTAAGCAATGGATATTAAATTTCTAAACTGTACTTTTTGTTTGCTAACAACATGAATACTCAGTAATGTGAGTAGTAAAAACATAAACAGTTATAGAATACTTCGCTTCTAGACCAAGGATTGTCATAATGCAAATACATTTTACAAAATATGTTACTTCTATATCTCCAAATCTTCGGATTACACTCAGTGAAACAAACTTCTATGAAATATTTTAAACAACAAAAGTCATTTTAATGAGCTGAGAGGTATGATTGATAATTGTCCATGGCACTAACTTTAGTTTGATTTTAACTTCTTCCCAACTCTCACTGACAGAATCAGGGTAAAGTGTTCACTCTGCCAAGAGAATATTTCCATTTTTAAGTTTTATAATGCTGAATTTCAAAGAGATTAACATAGAGCATAAAATTGTCTACAATATACATGAATATAATTAGGAAGCATTTCCAATATAATTAATTCCATGTCAGAATAAGTCATGATAGGAAAATATATCTGGAGATTTGGAGATCTGAAAAGGTTAAGTAACATTTTGAAGTTTAGATTTATTGAATTCTTTGAAACATTGAGAAATAGATATATTTTAAATTAACTTGATCCAAAAGAAAATCCTACTTTAATTATAACAGAAATTCTTGACAAGCCTGCCAGATATAAATGGGATTTTCTGCTACTAAGTCTCCAAAAATCTCTTTAAGGAATTCTCTGAGTCTGTTAAAAACATATCATAACACTGATATAAAAATATTTGATCATTCCAAAACAATATCTAGGTTATTTTTCTCTGAGTCTGTAAAACATTAGTACTTCAGAGCCTATGCGTTCCCAAAGAACTAAGTTTAGTGTCCTTATTCATAAATCATTAAATCTAGCTTTTGAAAATTTAAAACTAATGACTAACATATGTTCCTAGTTCATAACTCCCTAACATATTGAAAAGTAGAAACTGGAGGTGCAAAAAAATTTTCAGTTCTTATGGTTAATCTCTATAGCCCAAATAATCACAAAACAAAACAAAATGTCAAAAGACATTATTTCCTTTCTGTAAATTTCACATTTAATATATTATCTTCAGTTTATCTTTCTTTTAGACCAGAGAAATAGGTTCCTTTCTACCTTATGATTGCTGTGTTAATAAAACATAATAATGGATAAGAATAATTTGCAGTTTGAAGTCTTAAAACATAAAGTATACCTTTTACACAACTGTCACAGCATGAAGATATCAACAAATATAAACAAGAAAGCAATTACAAACTATAAGGAGAAAATATTTAATGAGATTTTTTTGAGGGCAGAAAAATATCTTATTTTAAATAGTCAAGTGGCAATTGTTCAGTGAGAATGAATCTCTAATTAACTATTGAAAAGGTAAGGTAAAAATGATCAACAAAAATATTTATAATTATATTTTTCTATATGATGTTAGCTGTAAAATACTAACCTATCCTAAATGACATTTTACAAGGTGCTCTTTACTGAAAATGGGACATTCAAGTTCCAGTACTTCAGTGTGAGAAAGAAACAGACTAATTAGAAAAGCAGAAAGAATACTACTAACAAGCTATCTGGGGTATTAAGTTTCAGTTGAACTACTTTCATTTTAAGAATAGACTTAAAGAATATAATTTGCTTGAAAAATCGAGATGTAACACAACTAACCATCACAGCCTACACTGAGCTTGAGCAAGAAGGCTAGAGTCTTAGCAAAGAAAACAAAACAAAAACCCCAC